ATTAAATTCAAGTGTCAAAGTAATCATGAACTGTTAGTCATGATGTCCATTAGTGTATCGAACTGTTTGTTTGTTACTGTTTTTCAAGTAATATATTTTCAAAATACTAATTTTCAGCCTACAGACTCCAGTTTCATTAAGTCAGGTGCATGATCTGTCATTAAGTACAATTTTTTTCGGTTAAAACAAGAGTCCCTGAAGAATCCTGGAAATAATTGACACATTTTGGAAGCTTGATCCCTTAAATGGAAGTTCAGAAGCATATAGTACTACATGTATATTGGTGTTTTGTCTGTTTATCAATTATCTTGTCCATCCTCAAATTTCACTCTGGGTATAAATTTAGAACTCTTAGGAAATTTGTAGATTCACATTTGATCAAGTTGAAGACTGAATGAGATACAAAAGCCTACCTTTATAAATTACCGAGTGCCCTGAACATGGTTACTTATAGCTACCATGACTGCTTTTTTTTTTCCCTGTGGATTAGCAATATTTATTACATTTTCAACAGTGAAATACTGTGATTTATTTATTGAATAAAAGTGATATTCTCTCACAGTGTGAAAGGATACCAAAATGATATTCTCTCACAGTGTGAAAGGATATCAAAGTAAGTAAAAAATAATTTCTGGCCTGTCATAAGATAGGGATAGTAACTAACCGTCTTGATAGAGCTAAAACTGAAAATTTCTTCCCAAATATATTGCTAAAATCCATGCTATGTAATGTTTTCAATCTCACAACTGCTAAGCAATGACATCAGTCAATCGCTCAACTATGACGTCAAACCTAGCTATGACACTGTGTTAAGAAAAAAAACAGGGGCAAAGGGAAAACCAAAGAAAATGTAATAAACAGAAAATTCAATGTTTTGTAGATGAATATGGAATTTATTTCACTCATGAGAAAGGATTTTGTGATATTTTCACTCGTGCTTCACACTCGTGAAAATATCAAAAAATCCTGTCCCACTCGTCTACAAAACATTGAATATCCTATATTTACTTAGCAGATCTGAAACATCTAGGTTCATGCAGTTCATATTTTGAAAAAAAAAAAGACCTTCAAAAATATTTACTGAATTACTCAATTTCAGTGGAGGTATATAATCCATTTGTCAACTACCTTGGCCAGGAGAGAGAAGATCATTGGAATGCAGGGATTTTGATTTAATCATTCTCATAAATACTCCTGTCCCAGACCTACATCTAATGCCAGATTTTAAAGACCAAGTTTACATGTTATCTCTTTTTGATTTTTCACATGTACTTGTTTGATTTTAATTTTGGTCCTCAGGGGTCTGTCTGCTAAATTAATAATATCTAAGGTAGAGCAACTGCCAGTTTGTACTGTTGTCCCCTGCTTTCGCAAAAGCGAGGGGACATTCAATCTCATTCATCTGTCAGTCTGTCACAAAAACTTTAACCTTGGTCGTAACTTTTGAATGAGAAAAGATGGGGCTTTCATATTTCACATGTACATTACCTGTGACAAGACCTTTCAAAGTATACTACAATTTTTGACCCAGTGACCTTGATCATATTTTTCCCAAAAAATAACATTGGTGGTAACTTTTGGATGAGAGAAGATAGGGTGTTCATATTTTACATGTACATTAAATGTGACAAGGCCTTCCCAAATGTACTCACTATCATTCTTATTTGACATGTACATTACCTGTGACAGGACTTTCAAGTGTACTATGGTCTTAGAACCTATGACCTTGACCTTGAAGTTTGACCTACTTTTCTTTTTTAAAAAAAGTAATATTGGTGATAACTTTTGAATGAGAGAAGATACAGTGTTCATATTTTACATGTGGATTAACTGTGTGTAAAGGCCTTTCCAAATATACTATGATTTTTGGGCCTGTGACCTTGAAGTTTGATATCTACTTTTCAAACAAGATTGAATCTCAACCATGAAGACAAAGCAAGGGACCACATTTCTTTGAATTTACTTGTTATCACTGTGCTTAGAATGAGGTATTTTCTCCCTGAGGCTTGGTGACTTTTCATTAACTGTTGCATGGAACTTTCATTTCACTTAATTCATAAAAGTTCTCAGGCTAATTACTCATAAATACATATAAGGTGTATGTAATATTTTTTAAAGCAGAAATAATCAGGGCAAGGCTATTTCTTTTTTTATAATTTAAAAGTTCTCAAAGGTACATACACCATATTTGAAAGAGAAGCTTTATTCCCTGGTAAGTATAAAGGTGCATGACATATTATAGTTTTTGATCTCCATATTTTCAATTCTGGTTTCTAAGGCTCTTTTAGGATTATAATGTAATAGACTTTAATTGTTACATAATAATAAACCCACCTCAATCTATGTCAGAATCATATGCTCATTGAAAACACAGCATGAAGTTTAGTATCAGAGGTATTCCTTGTGATTTGAGAGGTAGGTATAATTAAAATGCAATTACTGCAAAAGTTTATTGCAAGATTGGCCAAGGTGCAGAAAATTGGAATTAAAGTGATTAAGGCATTAATGTTTTGAAATCATTCCACACTTAATCTTTGGGTAGATTGATAAGATTAGAGGCCATTAGAGGTTAAGGTATTGGCTATTGTTACTTTGAAATAACCAAATGCAAACAAATTTCTGCTTTCAGTGAAAAGTGTGAAGGCACAATATTTTTCATCAGATTTGGAAATTTTGTGTTGACTGCTTTTTATCGAATGTAAGAGCTTTATTTGAGAAGTAAGTGTGTTATTCAATTTTAAACTTTTAACTTTGGATGTAAAGAAAAAATATTTGCCAATTGCATCAGTTTTTGTTGAACAAAAGTGTGCGCCTTAGGTTTCATTTCATTGTACAGGTCTATAGAAAAGTCAATATTGAATTCTGAGAGAGTTTAAGTCTGTGTTGAATATCACTGATGCTCAGATTAAACATGCTAATTTACATGTGTTAGTTCATTGAATACACTCCTAGCATGTATTAAAATGTTAAAAGCTGTAAATCAAATAATTTTTTTTTTTGGTATCAGAATATGAAATTAAAAACAGTTTTGCAAAATGGGTACTTTCTGTGGACAATTTATTGACTGTTGATGCGTAACGTTATAATTGTCAACATACGAGTTGCTTTGAAAAAATATGTGTACATGCCATGTGAACAACTTTTAGGTATTTTGAAATTTTATGAAAATCATCGGAATCAGTAGCAGGTAAATCATTCATTGTCTGTAATGTCAGTAGTTTCTATAATCTATAGTGAGGTTGATGTATTTTTCAAGCCCCCTCCCCAAATGAAATTGCAAAGCAGACATGGAATAAGGCATACTTGATGATACTTTCTCTATATGGCCATTGCTAGTTGTAGATCAGAGTCCCATGGTGATGCAGGAATGTTTCTGATTGCTATTGGATTGTGTAATTGTGGTTAGAGTTGTATTCTTTCTGAAAAAAGGATTTGATCTGAACAGCAGCACTTTGAATTTTATGCAGTGCTGTATTGTTATGTCCGACTCGATAAAATTATAATGGAACAAATATTGATCTTGGGTTCCAAATGACGGTAAGATAATAATGATTTTGTATGTTCACATGCATGCAGTTCTGTAAATATAAGTGTTACATCAATGTATTGTTTCAGTTTAGGCAGAATTTATAAGCTCAAATTTGGGGTGTCATACCACTGATTTTCACACATTGACTGGCTTTATCATTTTTTTTTTTTCAAATTTAGAAATGTAGAAAATAGCTAATGTATATTTACTCATACAATATTTAGTGTTTTTGATTTATTGGATTGGGGAGGGGGGGGGGGGGGCATTTTCGACTGCAGTGAACCATATTTAAGGTTTTCATTGTGAAGGTGGAATGTAGCCACAGGTAATAATATTAAAGCTGAGTATGTCAGTGCTGCAATGCATTTTTTGAAGACCCTTCTTTGCTCCTGCCATCCTCACAACATCAGGGGTCCTAGTTTGTCAACTTTTTGCCATGGGACCCTTGACAAATTTCATTATTTGGGGGGAGGAGGGGGGGGGCTCTCATTGAGATTCATCAATATCAAATTGAGGTAGACAGATTTTGTAAACAGAAAGAAATCAGTTGACACCTAAAATGCATGTGTTACACATTGTTTATCACAGAAAGGCTTAATGTGATTGGTTGAGAGATAAGAAAAAAACAATCAAGATTTGTAATTTTCCCAAAAGATCTCGCTGCAGTCACCCTGTAAGATATCAAATGAAATTTGTCAGAGGTCACACAGCAACGATCGAGTTGACACAGGATCCCTGACATTGTGAGGGTGTGCTCCTGCTTGACTCCCTCTCTCTAAGTGTTGCTGCTAGATTTATGTTCTTGGAGGAATTTAAGTCTTTTTTATTAATTTATGAAACTCGCCAAAAACAAGCAAGTACATCAAAAAAAAAATGTGTGCTTTACCATAACAGTGTTATTATTTATTTAAGAATTGCAAGCTATAAGTTAAGTGAGAGAAAATGTAAAGTAATATACATCCGCGAGTAAAATACATGTGTCTGAAATGGATGCTGCATCTAAAAACGCTGCATTTGAATATGTTTCATTGCAAATCATTTGAATTCATTATCCTTACAAAATACAAATCAATTTTTTAACAATGCCCATAATTTCATCATGTTCATAATGGAAAAATGTAAGAGCTCTTTCAGAACATGCTAATGGGCAGTTGAAGGATTGGTTGGTTTAGGACACCTTATTATATTATGTTGCTACATCGAGCAGATATGCTCGGTGTTGTCATGATTTAGAAGCTTTGTATAGATTATAAGTTGAACAATGTTTGATTTATAATTCTATTAACTTAAGTGTGCTGCTAGATCATTCAGTTGCGCACATTAATATATAATATGTTTCATCAAAATTCTTAGAAAAGTTAAATGTACGATTTGTTCAGGTCTTTTCACTGATTAGTTACTGGTTAAGAATTTTATAGATTGATTAGTAATTAAGTCTTGTAAACTGATGTTTTGTTTTTGACATTGTTAGGTGGAGATGAAACAGTATGGAAGGAGGAAATTCGGAAGCGTATGGAAGATGAGCTTAATGCTCGTGTGCGGGAAGCTTTAGAGACACCTCCACTCGAACGAGCCGAGCGTCAGCGTCTGTCCAATCAACAACAACAACAAAGTGCTCGCAACAATCTCGAAAAACTCAACTCGCACCTTCTTTTTGAACTCAATGACAAGAACCATGCATATCTAAAGGCACGGAAGTGGCGAGCTTTACAGGCCAAGAAGCAGATGCAACATCTGATGAGGATGAATTATACTCTAACTCCAGCCCCCACCAGCACCATAGACGTCATCTTCAAGGACAAACTCTCAAAGTCCAACCAGGATGAATTCCCGGGAGTGTTTGGTCTACAGACTTTTTCTGAAGGAATCAAAGACCGAAACAGTTTAGAAAAATATCCATCTTTAAAACAAATTCACAGACAGTTCTACACCAAAGATGGCTTTCTTGCTGCTTTGGATTCGGGACACTTTCCGGATGGATCAAAGTTTGACTGTAATGAAAACGGTGCATATAAGGACAGATTTGGTGTGTTGAGGGACCAGCACGGTCCCTTCTGGCCGGGAGAGTGGGGCCCGCTGTTTCCCACCCCCAGATTTAAGTGGTTTACAGACATCCCAGAAGAACCTCTATTTACCTCGGCTCACAGTAAGTTTCCTTACTAGTAATAATTGTATTTATGTAACTTGCTTTTGTTGCCTGATAAGGTTAATTTCATGATACAAAGGTAAGTGGATAAAGCTTTGAAGGACAGGTGTGCCTCTGGCATTTTTAGGTTGGTTTAAAAAGGTAAGTATTATAATGTACTTATTTTCACTTTGAAGAAATTTCTGTACAGTCTTGCTGTGTTATAGAAGTTGTCTGCCTTTGTGCACACAAGTAAAATGCGACACTCTACCACATATAATATTGGATCATTTTAGTTTTATGTATTTTTTCCCTTTCTTCATGTTCTTTGTAATTAAATTCTTCATTTGTGTTTTGTGAATTGTACATTTTTTTTTCTGTTCTATCTATTTGCATAACTACATGAATGAGCAAACTTTAATTTTAGTTTTGCTAATAAAAAAAAGGACAGAAAAGTAGATCCTGGAAAACACTTCATTAGATATTATGATCATTTAAAGAAAGTAACAGCAAAATAAAAAATATATACAGATGGAATCTGTACAATAAAAAAAACTAAGTTTTAAAAGTGTACAACAAAACAAATACAGTCATACTAGTATACTGTTAAACATATTCAGTACTGAATTGCAACAAAACAGCAACATTTTACAGTGCATGAATAAAATTGTGTCATCCTCTGTATACGAGGTAGAATAATATACAGTTTGGGTATTTGAAGGACTTTGAATATGCATGTATCATTAATTATCCAGTTCTCTTGGTGTTTAAGTCCAAGAGGGATTACTCTTGATGGCTTATCTGTATGGGCTATGTATCTTGATAATTTTTTTCACTTTCTTATTTTCATTCATGACTAGATTGCTATTGCTAAATATTTCCTGTGATAAGTAAAGTATCATGTGTGAATTTTCGCATTATTGGAGTTTTATTTTGTCTTTTACATTCCATTAGATCCATAGGAACATTTTAATACTTCATGTCTCGGTCTGTTATGACATGGAACTAATTAATTTTCATCATGAGTTTTGCAGTAGTCTAATGGATTAAATGAATTTAATTAAATTAAATGTTGCCTTTTTTATCCTTCTTTTGTCTTTTGTTTGGATTTTGGTTCCGTATATTAATTAGTTTTAAGGCAGTTTAAGTTTTACCTTGCAAATATAGATATTTTATTGAATTCAGTATTGATTTCTTTTTAATTGAACTACTTGAAGAAAAGGCATGTTTTCAAATCAATTATTTTCACCCAGTTTTCGTGAGAGGCATATATTCACATGAAAAATTATCTCATAATAGGTAGTCGGCCAAAAGCCCATGGGGTAGTGAATAATTAATGGATTTGTGGGATTCGTAACAAGACAAGCTTAAAACTTTATTTTGACTCTTTGTTGGTGCTAATTGCTTGGTCGGTATAAATATTTGTCATGCTAACCCATTGTAGATCTTTGTGTTTTGAGAAAGACTTTGTCTCCAAGGGTTTAGAACGGAAATTCCTTTGACCGATATTGTCTTTTAAAACTAATATTGAACCAGCGTTACTCTGAATATCAACACTGGGTCAAATGCTGTGAAAAAGAGATAATGCCAATCCGAGGAGACCTCCATTTAATACAAAATTCAAAATTCCTCAAAATCGTGATAGATTTCATGTGATCCCTCTGATGAAATTTAAAAACAAATTCTTGGGTCGGTGAAAAGTTGTCTAAATTTGTGGATCCAATTTTGAACAGAGGAAGATTGCCTATTGATATCGGCAATGACAGTTATTAAGTTGACCCGCACTACTTTTTTTTTTGACATGTCAAGAAAATGCATTAGCATTGATACTTTTATTTGAAAAAGTTAATCTTTGTAGCTTAAATATATTTATTAGCTGGGAGGAGGAGATATTGAGATATATTAAACTCAGATTTAATCAAGTTTGCCTGATGTATATTTTTCATGCCATTTTGATACAAAAAATGGCATTATATGGCAGCCTGCAAGTTGATAAAAGAATCTGAGTTGATTTCTTTTAATTTCGGGGAGTAATTTTCTAAGTAGGGGAGCACAATTTATAAAGGGGCGCGTCGGGGTAATGCATGCCTTCTCAATATTGTATTACAGAACTGCACGTTAGATGTGATTAGTTATGAAATTAAAAATTCATATCATGTTGTTTGTTTCCTCACAAGATATCCTTTAAAAAGGGCATTATTAGTAAAAAGAGAACTTGTGAGTAGATTAAATTACATAATTTTTTCAATGTAATTTTTAAAAAAAGTTACAGGTTTTTTTCCAATGAATGGAAATAAAAAAAGACAATATACATACAATTTATAGTACATATCAGCATGTTAAGAAATCTCAATATGCTGGTTAGTGACCATCATTACATGAAAACATTGTGTGCTCAATAACAGTTTTGTTTATCTGTTATACTGGCTCGCAACCAATTAATACTTAACATTAACATTTATTGGACTGGCCATGCAATAACATGTATATAAGGTACAAAACTTTCTAGCAAGTTTCAGTAGTTTTCTTGCCAATAGTAGATCAGAAAACATGCAAATTAGTTTTCAAAATCTGAAAATAGCAAATCATATGTCAAAAGATCTTTCATTTGCATGAGACAACTCCTTCCAGTAAAGATGTCCAGGAAGTCTTCTGGCTCTCGATCTCTAAACTGACTAGTTTCTTTTTCATTCAGATGAACCAATTAGATAAGAAAATGCTATATGTGCAGACTTTATTTTTCAGAAAAAATTCCATTTTGATAAATGTTCAAGAATTGTTACTGTGCCCATATGATATGTAAAAAAAATTACCATGGAAATTAATTACAAAGCAAATTACATTTGATAAACATGTAGTCTGAGAGAATATCTAAAATGAACACATTAAACAGAAATCTCTAAGAATTAAAGTTGAATTGGGAGTTTATGCAACTTTTGTCATAGTCAGAGCATACAGAATAAAATAAAGTGTCCAGAAACTGGTCGCAAACAAGATTTATAAGTTTTAAATTTCAGCACTTTTCTATGAATCTGTTGTCTCTTAATTACTGAAATTGCGGACAATCAAATGCTAATTTAACTTCAGACATCAAACAGAAGTTAATGTGTGAAATTATGTGGAATCATTGCTAATGATCAAACAGATCCTTGGCCTACAAATAGGACAATTGTGTCTGGATAGTCAATTTTTTGGTCATAATTTACTTGATGTTTACAAGCATAAAGAAGAATGTCATTGTGTTTTCCCTGGATAGTGCTGAATAAATCTAAAATGGAAACCAGCTGGCCTATTGCAGTGGATCATGCAAAGGTTTCTGCAGTAAGTCATGAGAAAGGCAGTGGTAATCAAGAGATTTTGTTCAAATTGTCTCTGGTAGTTGGTTTCTATTATTATATTTTACCAATAGAGACCTACAAATTATGTCAAAGCATTGCTGGGTTTGCCCCGTAGACAATGATCTTTAGTATATTTGATCTGCTTCTCTCTCTTTGAATATCTTCAACTTTAACCTGTCTCATAACTTGTGAAGTAAATAACTTGGAGACATTGTGTTTGGCACAAAGGTAGCTAATATCCTAAAGGTATGCCCTGACCTTGACCTTAGGTCATTTGACCAAGGTAAAGATCAGGTGGATTGTAAGCAAAGAAATGTGTCCAATACGTAAGTTTGTAATGGAGAAAACAAAGCTAAAACGAATTAATGATTCAGTAGTCAGAATTCTGCATTTTGCTGAGGTAATTAAGGTAACATTTAGGATGTAGCAGTGGCGGATTTAAGGGGGGGCTCACCAGCGTGCACCCCCTAAAATTGTCAAAGTTAGCGTTAATCATAGTTTTGTCAAGAAAATGTAAAAATTGTCTGCTCGGTAGACCTCATTTTTACCCTACAAAATCTCTAGAATCCAGGAGCTTCCTGGGGCTTCGCCCCCTGGACCCCCACTGGTGGCCTCAAGGCGGCCCCCAGACCCCCTGCCTACTTCTTTCGCCCCCCTAACTTCAATTCCTGTATCCGCGCCTGTGTAGGTTTCATGAGAATAAATAATATCATGTAACCTTTAGGTTTTAGATTGTGGAAAGAATCATTGAAATCTGGGTCGAGGTCAGTTTCACTGAAATGGTTAAGATGGTCAACAAGAATGAGAAAGCCACCATGTAAATATCGTAAAGTAAGGCACAACCATCCCCCGACTTTCCTCGTTTCATCAGCATTTGACTCGTAGGACATACTTCTTTAAACAGAGGTTTGGATGGACCAAAGGAGAATTTTAAGTCTCTTGCATTTTATATGTCACTGTTTGTAGATAAAGCTGCCCTGTCTTATAGTGCCTTTGTTTGCAGACATGAAATTCCTTTTATTTCTAGACTAATTTTATTTGGTAGCTTTGGGAAAAAAAACATTGAAACTGTAAGATCTGAAGTTGGTGTTGATATGTTGTACTGTAGGTTGGAAAAATTGACATATTTGTTCAGCATTTCCAGCTGATATACCTTGGCTCGCAGGTGTGTATTGTCTTTTATGTACAATGTAAATAGACACTATGTGCCAGAATTCTATAAGGCTAGCGACAGTCAGTTCTCCAAATAAATGTTGTGTAAAATTAGAATTTAAAGTTGTCATCTCCAGGCAAAAGGCTTTGAAAAAAAAGACAGTTCTAACAAGGCATTCTTTTCCTTTCATTGTTATTCCACTGTTTAAACAATGGATCGTAACACAAAAGTTTCGGTGTTAGGTAAAAAGCATACACCAGAGAATGGCATGCTAATTAGAAGACCTTTGGAAGCAAGATATTTGTTGGAACAACGAGAGTGAATTGATCCAAGAGAAAACCTTTGTATGAAATTGTGAGTCACATGACCATGGGTGCCCGGCTATGGTTAGATGTGTCTATACCTTCGATACATGCTTAGTTCATTTAAAAGGAAAACCGACTGATCAATGGATAAATCCTCTGCACAGCATAGAGTTGCTCAAGAAGTGTCCTGTTGGATGTCTTCAAAGGACTGTGGTCAGCAGAGAT